AGCACAGTTTACAGCTGCAGGCAATACTGCTGGCTATACCAAGGCTTTGGCTTTATGGTTTGGGGTCTGAAAATTACTTGTCTGTGTGCCTGTTTCTATCCCCTAGACAGCTTAGACAAGATGACTTTTGCTCTGAATCACTCAGGATTTGTCTCATTTACACAACCCGATGGGCAAAACCTCAAGCCATGCAGACCCTTAAGGAGTAAGGCAGAAAGTGCAGGTGGAGCACCACTCACTAGAAAGAGACCATCAGGATCAGTAGACGTTCCCATCACAAAACTTTTCCAAACTATGCCATAACCTCATTCCAAAGGAAGTAGCACCCACTGCTATAACAGCAAAGCCTTGTATCACAGCTGGCATGAACTAGGTACTGACAGCCCTGATGAAATGAGAGAGAAGGACAAAGAAGTGGGGAAAATGGTGTAAGGGTTGGGAAAGGGGAAAGCAATAGGGATTTTCATGCTGTGAGACCTGGTACAGACCTCTAAGGAGCCTTACTGCAGCTTTCAGTACTTAAAGGGGAACTATAAGAAAGATGGGGAAAAGCATTTGAGCAGGACCTGTTGCAATAGGACATGAGGTAATGGTTTTAAACTAAGGGAAATTCAATTTATACTAAATATAAGGAAGAAGTTTTTTGCAAGGAGGGTTCCAAGACGCTGGAACAGGTTGACCAGACCAGGGAGGTAGTAGGCACCTCATCCCTGGAAACATTCAAGGCCAGGTTGGATGGGGCTCTGAGCAACCTGATCTACGTGAAGATGCCCCTGCTCATTGCAGGGGGGTTGGACTGGATGACATTTAAAGGCCCCTTCCAACAAAACAAGTCTATGCTTCTGTAATGAAGCACAGCACACACTAGCAGTAACAACACACAAGTCCAGACTCTTCAGCCACTCACCTGGAATGAGTCTCCTACTCCAGCACCACCCCTCTTACAACAACCAAGGAAGAAAAGTGATGGGGTTTATAAAGTCAGGTCTCCTGACCAAGTGCAAGGAGGGCTCCTTCTCTCTGTGCTAGTAAGGTTGACCCCCATCTTGGGCTCATCTGGGACATTAAAACTCCTGGGAACACCTGCTGGCTCATTTACACCTCCCAGGATATTCTCCCAGCTTTGGCAGAAAGGGGATTTCCAGCTCTGGTTTCCTTTCAAGACCTCCCAAAAAGCCAAATGTGTAGGTAAAAAAGTGTAATTCTTCATTATCTTCCATCATTTTCTTCCCCAACACTTACTTATAAGAGGCTTCCTTGCCTTCCACCCACCTGGCACCCTGATGAAGGCGACAAGCAAAATACGTGAGAAAGAACCCAAAGGCTCATTTTCTCAGCTGCTTTGCCTGCGTAGCTGGCCAGCAGGTGACCATAATCACCACCACAACTAGATGGAAATTTCAACCCTTCAGGAATTGAGAAGCACAAAATAAAACCAGCCCAAAACTGAGTCCAGCATTGCATCACTCACACAGAGCAGCAGGACCCTCCTCGCTGTGCAGACACGCTCAGCTGTGCACATCGAGCAGGATCGCCGTGGTCCCCACTCCTTCCACAGGGAGCTGTCAAGGCCACTGCAGGTCAATCTGGCTGTGGGCACTCGAGCCAAACAAAGGGCGTGGCACTGCCTCAGAAACAACATGGCAGGGTGAATGTTTCTTTTCTCACAGGTGAGCCATTTGCTGCCAGCCAGCTGAGTTTGAAATGAGCCAGCAGTGTGTTGCCACTTTCTACTCGTGGTGTTAAAAGTGATTCATGCTGAAGTGAAGGCTAAGTTGCTTCCTTGCCTTAGTGACCACCAACTAATGGTGGTGGGTTTGCTTGAATTCCCCTTGGCAGATGGACTGAAGGCCATTTCCAATGGGATTCAGCTCTGTTCAAAGCAGACACAGGACACACCGACCAGAAATAAAATACCCCAGCCCTGTTCCTGTTGCTGAAGGAAGGTGGGTTACAAAATTTGTGGACTCACTTTGTTTAAACAACTCTGGAGAGCAGTGTCCTCATGAGCAGGCTGTCAGTAGGTTGTGCTTCTGAGCACTGTATTCAGGGGGTGGATGTGCACTTAAACCAGCAGCATGGCTGCATTTGTTTGGGAACAGGCACTCCTCTTCCTCAGACACGTTGGGAATGCTGCAAAGCCATCAGCTGGGACTAGAGGAACTAAAAGGGAGCCAAAGCCTTTGAAAAAGCTCCTTTTTTGACCCCAGTAATCACTTCAGCAATCACCAGATTAATCCCCATGTTCTTACTTGGACTCCATTTCTCTCATGACACACATGTGACAGTAAATAACTATGGCTGCTTGAGAAACAAGAGCCGTGGCTTCATAGGCATGCTGTGAAATGAGGTAAATAGTGATGGAAAAGGGAAACTGTGGGTGGTTCTGGAATAATTTTGTCTGGGACCATGTTTTTTGTGCTCGGGACAGCTGTGCTGCAGCACGCAATTGGCCTAATGTATGTGGCCTCCACGCTTCTGCACTGAGCTTTCCTTTGCTGGGCTGCTCTGGCCATGCAGCCTCAGCCAGGTTTTCCTTCCTGCATTAAGTCATGTTCATCTTTTTACTCAGCTTTTCCCTCATTTTACTACCACAGGTTAAACTGCTAGGTGATGTCATGGAGATCTTAATTCCCAAAGTGGTGCCAACCCATCCAGGAACTTTTTCTTCTGAGAGATATTAAGCTTTGAAAATATTTTCACAGAAAAGTTCCTCCCAGCATTGCTTTTTTGTTGTTGTTGTTTTTTTTAGTCTATCCAATATTTCTAGCATGTCTCCTCTCTAGAGCATAATCTTAAGTTCAGCATTTAAATTCTCAGTATCGGAAAAATTATTTCTCAGTGCACTAATGTGCTCAGCTAATTTTGGATTCCTGCTAATCAAACTTTTTTCCAGCTGTATTATACTTGCTTATGACTTAATATGAGACAAATCAGAACTATGGCTTTTCTAGACTGCAAAATGGATAGTGGTACTGTTTGCAATAGTCAAAAATAGAATATTTTGCATAGGATAGGAAAGGAATGGGAGAGGGCAGGACAGGCCTGACTTCCTAGGCCATACATATCTGGGGAGCAGGGAAGTCTACACTTGTCTGAAACTCCAGTTTGACCAGGACAACCAGCTTCTGCTGTAAGACACTTAAAATAAAAAATTAAAAAAATTATTGCAGTGTCAAATCTTTCCCACCCAGGTAAGCCTGGAAGCATTTAGCCTCTTTACAGAAAGTGTATGGCAGATATTATTTCTCTGCCTGCTCCATAGTTGTGACTAATCTATTTAACTGAAAGACTGCATTGTTTTGTGAATTGGAAAATTAATTTTAAAATGTTTGCTTGCTGTTGAGGATTTAGATGAGATTAGGTCAATGCTTTGACTAAGCAGCTACAGTCTTAGGTCTTCCTTTTCCTCACTCATGAACAGCTCTTTACTGCTCCCATCCAGGCTTACAGCTGCCACTGACTTCTGGGCATATTCCCTTGGAAGTCTTTTCCTTGCAAGTTTCTCTATTGGTGTGTTACCCACAGAAATTAAATTGTGAAGAATTACCAATTTCCCTGTCCTTGAACCCTTGTTATTAGGTAAAAACCTTCCTAGTGTTCCTTTTTGCATTTACCAACCCCTGCCAGCACACGGGTCAGGTTTACAGATGAGGGACAATTTTGCGTGGAGCTTGGTGGGAACTACCCATGCATTTGACCACACACCTTGGGGGGCTTAGGGAGGAATTCACTTCCTCCTTCTGAAAGTCCCAGGGATGGCCCCTGCAGCTGGTAGGGCTCATACATACACCAAGTCAACAAGCACTTGGTGCCAGTGACCTCACACACTCAGCACCTTCCAGACAGCCCTGGAGAGCCCAAATGCCAGCCTTAGACTCTCAAGTGCCTACCCAGATCCCCCGTTGCTGCCTGCAATGGATTTTAACCTGTGCTAAAGCTGTGTTGAACCCAGCAGCCCTGTGACACTTGATGCTGCCTAACCATGCACAGAGCAGTTGAACACTTCAACAATACCAGGCCCCAGAAAGCTGGACTTCTGCCTCCAGAGAAACTTCAAGCTAATACAAATTGGGATAGACAGTCCCTTTCCTCTTCTCAGGGATGTCACCAGTAGGGGAAAATACTGAATTGTCATCTACCTTTATCAAGGAACATTGCCTGTGCCCTTATACTTTGCATATGAACCGATACATTTACAGGCCCAAGCTGCATTTTACAATTTTGTGATTCGAACACTTCTTCAGCAAAGGAAAGGATCTGAAATTGCTCTTGAGGTCAATTCAGGTTAAGGAGCACCCATACACTGGTAGTACATCTATTCCCCCTTCTTTGCCTTAAGGTGAAGTTTGGCTGCTGGAAGACACTGTTTGCAAATTGGGCTTCGTCTTCTCCTACTGACACTGAATGAAAATGACACTGAACATCTGCTAATTTCCTGACCGTGTATGTTACTAGATCTATGGCTTAAACCTCAGAGGATAATTAAGTTCTTCCACCCAAACCACCAGGAATGCTTCATATCCAAACCTCACTGCCTCTGCTCCAGCATGTGTCTCACAGCTGCAAAAGGGGACAGAGCACTGCTACAAGGAGGGACTCTGCTCATCTCTGATGTCACCAAGGACCAGGCTCTGAAACGCTCGTGTCTTCTGACCAAAGCCAGCTGTCATCCAGCACAGCTTGTGCTCTCACTAAAGCATATGCCCACTGTCAAAGCATCTTCAAGAATGAGGCATTTCTCCTCATGCCTTGACCTGGATTAAACATGAACTGGTCACTGCATTGTGCTGCGGAGAAGTGAAGTCTCTCCCAACTCGAAGAAAATGCTGCAGGACATTTGGCTACAGATGACATTCTCTCGACAGCACTTTGCAAACTCTGCTCCCACTCGTTTCGAGAGGGTGCCCAGCACCTTACAGCTGCATACCAAGGAGGAGCCGGTGCCAAGGCTCTCCTGTGCCCATCCACACCAAGTAAAGCAGAGACCAAACCCGTGCTTCTTACAAACAGATTTATTTGCATTTTGACTGGAGCACAGATTCTAGATACAGGTTTCTTCTGCACAACAGTACAAGAGCCAGTGCAAAATATGCTTTTTTCTTTTTCTTTTTTTTTTTTAATTTTTTATTCATGTACAAAAAAACCCCGAAAACTAAACAAAAAGACAAAGAGTGTGGCAGTATTTACTCACAACTGGTAACGCCTCAGCCTCCCATCGACCCACCTCCACTCGCCCTTGCCCGTCATGCCAACCTTGTGGTCAGCATCGCCTGCCTCGAACAGCTGCACTGTCGGTGAAGAGAGGTAACTCCCCAGCCCTTTGAAAGATAAACACTCACCCCAAGCAAACTGGGACAACACCAGGCTACTTAAAGAAGATGAACACACCATCTACTCACCAATGCATCCCCCATCAGGGAGCAGAATTTTGAGGGAATGGCAAGAAAAAAAAAAAAGGTACAAATCAAAAATTCACAAAAAATTAGGCACTAGCTCAACCCATTTGTTAGAGAGAGGCAAGGATGTCAGACACAGTCTACCTTCTCATATTCACCCACAGTAGTGATGATCAAAGCCAAACACTCCCCACTCTGAGTACCCTGTGCTGTCAAACAGATTATAATCTTATGAAAATATTTCTATTAGTACCATAAAGTTAAACCATTTCATAACTGGAGGAGAAAGAGAAGCTATAGTCTGAATATAAGCATTTCTTTGAGAAGTCAAAAAAACCCAAAACAAATACAGACAAAAAAACCTGTCCCAGTCATCCACCAGATGATTGTTAGAATTACAGTCAATGCTTAAGCAATACAACATTGAGCTAGGAAAGGTCATCATATGGTTGTTCTGCTTAGGGAGTAGCCTTACTAGTTCACAAAGCATTGGGTATTCTATTTCTCTGTTATTCTAACTAATTTTCAGAAGCTGCAATGTAGAACTGCAGCGTTAGTGCAACAAGATGCTCTTCTTTACCAAAGCCTGGGATTTATGTTGCAGAAATTCACCCAATTTACATCACTCCAAGTGTACTGTGTCCAAATCACCTAGAGTCTCTATTATGGACTCTTACAATTCTACCCAAGGAATGGCTGGGTTTTGAAGCTTGATCAACCAGAGTCATTTACATTGAACTGCAATTAAACAAAGCAGAGTACCAGTTAAAGCCAAAGAACACATGTACTCAGCACAGATATGTGTTGATACAGTATGCATGTAGATATATATATATGCATATATATGTATATGTTACACTATAAGGAGAGTGCCATTCAGGGCTTCTCAACTGCAAGAATCCTTTTACCATCCAAGTCTTTAAACTTCAGCACGTTAAATTTCAACTAAGACAATGAGAACTTCAGTGTTTTCCAGATTGAATGATTATTTCTATTTTAGTCAATTAACCATGCAGGGCCAGCTGAAAGAACAGGAGCTTTCATTTTAATAGCACCGGTCCTGACACCTCAGTCAGATGGTCAAGTTTTTATCACAAGATTATTCACCCCTTCCCTGCCCTGCAGTTGTGTATCATGGGCATTTCTATGAGTTCTCAGGACATCACCAGAATCATACTAACTGATATGTATCAATTTACTCAGTTAATAGAGAAAATGCCACAATTCATGAAATCATTTCAAACAGACAGTACAGATCTGACGAGAACATGGGTTTATACTTTGCAGTACTAGCTGGAGTATTGGTATAAATCACGTGATGATTTTGCCTTTTCATTCCCAGCAAATCCACTTCTACTCATAGTGGCTGTCATCATACATACAACTGAAGAGCTGGACAATTTGGGAAACCATATCATTCATTCATTGTTATCCTAAAACCCAGTCCTTAGAGAGGTCTGCCATACAAATTTCACATATAGCTGAAAAAAGTCTCATTTAAATCACTTTCAGCAAGCTTCATTTGTTGCTTTTTAAAAAAGAAATAGGAGCAACAACAAAAAAAGCAAAAATAAGTGTAACAGACACTAAGGAGCAAAGTAAATGCAAAACTCTTTTGGATGTTTAGATGAGCGGGAGCTACTCACCTCCCTTGCCGTTAACCTGTCTAGAATTTAGACATCTATCCCAGACTAATCATTTGTGCTTCCTCCAGTCTTGAGGAAACAAAAGCTTCCTTCTGAAGCTTGTCACATCCACAAACAATTCAAATAAGTTCTTCCAGGGGCAACAGACCCTCTGCAGCCACAGGGAGGGTCTGAGATTACCTGGCACTTACACAGGTGAGACAAGTATCTCTCTCTCTCTTATTCCTCACATAAGCTACTAACATAAATCCTGAAGGCTTTGCATGGTTCCTGCATGGACAAACTCAGCTTCAACAGGGCAAGGTTTATTTTTAAGATTCTGGGAAGCAGAGGGGAAGATTCCTCAGCAGTCCAGCCTCACATCAACACTGCCCTTACCACATGCACCACCCCCTCAGCCACAAGTGGCCAGTTTGCCCCTGTAAAATAACCAGTTGGTCACACAGCATCATGGACCAAGGGCAAAGGGTGCAACATGTTTTCCTGACACCAGAGATACATTCTGCACCTTTCTCGAGGCGGAGGTCCTGATCTATTCTCTCTGGTGACCAGTGACAGGATGCGAGGGAATGGAAGGAAGTTGAATCAGGGCAAGTTCAGATTGTACACTGGAGAAAAGTTCTTTACTGAGAGGGTGGTTAGTCACTGGAACAGTCTCCCCAGGGACTTCCCTGGCCCTTGATCATGGCACAAAGCCTGCCAGAGCCCAAAAAGTAAGGATGCTCTGGATGACGCTCTTAAGACATCTGGTTTAGGTTTGGGTACATCTGTATGGAGCAGGGCATTGACTCAGTGATGCTTATGGGTCCCTTTCAACTCAAGATATTCTACAGTTCTAAGCTGCAGTAATTCAACAGTCTCCTAGACACCAAACCAGCTGAGCTGTGTCTTCATGGAGGTGTACGTTACTTGACCATAGACCCCTAAATTTCTGCTGTGACTACAGAGGTTCAACAAGGACTAGAACTACTCTGTCAAGGAAGTGTCAGTATTACACATATTAAAGCTATACAGCTTTACAAGAGGCTAACACAGATAAAACAGCAGAGCCCACCCAGTAGGACAGTATTTAGATTCTATGGGATTGCTTGCTCTGGTATACCTTCTTAGAGCATACAAAGAAAAGCAAGAGATATTGTCAAATTCACCCTCATCAGTATAAAATTATTTTATTTTAAAAAATCTAAATACAGCAAGGCCCTAACAGACTTATTTTTGTTCAAAATTGATCAAGCAAGTGTTAATGAAACACTATGAGGGCTTTTGCATATAATTCCTTAGGGGAAAGAGTTGTTTCTTAGAGAATCAAGAAGTCAGACTTTTTAAAATAAGCAAAGCGATCTCAGTTTCTAACTCTGGGAGCAAAGCTACCTCTACCCTTTCTTCACTCTGCTGTGTTTCAGCATTGCTGTGTTCCCTCAACTACAGGGCTACCACATCTAAGTGGATACGATACAGACTGCACTCTTGGCTACTTCAAGGTCTATTTTAAACCCTTCTCATGAGGTCAGGTTCACCTGAGTCACATGCCAATAACAGCCTTACCCTGTATTGGGCCAGTATTACAGAAAAGGATGAAAAAGCACAGCAAACATACATCTTCAAAAGCACTTTCTACAACATAAACCAAACAGTTCCTGGTACACAGGGGCACACTGCTCCTGTCTACTCACAGAGACATCTGGAATTTATTCACTGTTTTGGAAGGCAGCTGTAACTGTGGGGCTGCCACCTGGAAGCCCCAGTGCCCACAGCCAGGCGCTTCTCCTCACCTGTGCAACCTGGTCCTCAACCAAGAAGCTTCAATTCCTTTACTTCAGAGGGAGGAATCACCATGTCCCAAAGCCTAGGCATAGTTTTTGGAGAAACACTACAATTCATGGAGCATCCAGGACAGCCAGTTGAGCAAGATCGTGCCTAAGTAGGCACTGTTACTCAATTAGCTGAGTTGGCTGAAGGTTTTCCCATTGTAACACAACTTTTCTATTCTAGTATTATTTTCGGTGAAAAAAAAAAAAAAGCAAAAAATCAGTGGGGATGGGTGGGTTTTTTGCACAAAACTTGCTGCTTTTAATGAAAAAAAGGTTGCTTTTCTCAATATTTTGCTGTTTATTTCTGTTGGGAAAACTTGAAACACATAATTTTTGTCAGAAAAATATCAGTCCATGTCTGTTTGAATTCCTTTAGTGTCAGTTGGGAGCTATAATTCAAGGGTTCCATGGCCCCCTCTTTCCCTTGGCACCTCTCCAGCCTTCATGACGCATTCCCTGTTTGACTAACCCATGGTAAGAGCATCATGGGATCTGTAATTCAGCCAAAGAGCTCAGCCCCAAGGGGGACACAGCGCGCAAGGCACTTGAATGATAATTTCTGAGGGCTGCAACAGTAGCTCAAAGTGATGCTGCTTTAAGGGCCAAATGGATTTAATTAAATGTTTCCATTTCAAAAGGCTGGAACATTTTATTCAGTGTTTTCCAGCTGACAATTTCTCATTTTTTGAAAAATTTCCATTCCAGGAAAATGTTTGGTATTTCAGTTTTCCATGTCGATTCAGGACAAAATTAAATATTCAAGAATCAGATTTTGATGCTATATAGACATTCAGTTTGGGAAACAGCCTTATTGTTTAGCTATCAAAAATGAAATGGTTTCATCCATGCAAGAAAGGTGTGATCCAGTTTGCCTTTGACATCAGTGGGAGCCAATTTTTTAGCTTAATGGAGCCTGGATAGCATCCCAAAAGGCCAAGGAAGGGTGGAGTTGACTATAGCTACAGATACTGGAAACAGGAGTAAGAGTGAAAGAGGAAGAATGTAAGAAGCAGCAACTAAGATGATCTGTTACCTGGACTTGATCAAAACTATTTGTTTTACTTTAGTAAGTAATAGGAAGAAAATTCCTTAAGATTATAAAACCTAATTCCCAGTTGCAGTAAAGACAGTAACTAATCTCTACCTTGTAGAGTAGAATAAATCCACAGTATGAATTTGTCATGAGCACTACAACTTTCAGTGTTCAAAGCATTTCCTCAGAAAACCTTCATATACTCCATTCAGGGAGACTATTCTAAGATAGAGGTATGCTACTGAACTGCTTGGCTCAGGTTGTCTGTCCTCCTTTGAACCCCCCAAAAATTATTCTGTTGTACTGGCATTACAGAAGGTCTGTCAGGAAGGACCAAGGTCTCTGGACTTTGAGCACATCTGCAGGCGGAGATCAGCTAAGTGTGGGCTTCCAGAGCTGACACTTTAGTTGAAGATTGGGCACCAAACCCATCCTCTGTATTGCCCAAACTGGTTTTGGATGTAGCCCCAAGCCTTCCACCTCAAGGAGTAAAAGAGAAGCCCCAGGGAGTCTACATCCATCAGCAACAGGGTGTGTTTTGAAAGCAAGAGAGCACTCAGAACAGTAAGTAAATCAATTCGTTCAACCATGAGGGTTCTAGAGAATTGGGATTCGTTTATCTTTCATTTCCCTTTAGTACAAGGCAGATGTTTCTAAGTAATAAGCAGAAACCTCTACGACTTTTAAGACTGAAGAGGAAGGGAGGGAGGAAGAAACATGTACAAGCTTTGAGGATGTTCTCAGCTCCAGCTTAAAAGAAAAAAAAAAAAAAATAGCAAAACCAAAATCACACACCACCAAAAATGTATATCTGTAAAAGCAAGCTTTTCCTTAAGCTGTTTGGTAATTCTTAGTTCACAGGAGCATTTATCCAGAAGGTTCTTCATGTTTCCAGTCTAGGTTGTAGCAATTTCAGTGAGGCACTAAAATCTTAGGCTGTCAAAGTCTCTCTGTGTAGCACGGTCATTTTAAAATGACGTGGTAGCCATCATTGCTTTCAGCTGTAACAAAGAAATGCAAAGCACATTTTCATTGCTTCTAGGACACATCAGAGATATAGAACTTCAGATTTTCTTCCAAGGTAGTCTACAATAGTTTATATTCTTGGTCCACAACCCACCCATGAAAATCCATCCTGAGCATCTAGGACAAATAATTTACATAGAAAACCCCACATACTGTCATCTTTTATAATTTTACTATAAGTTTTTCTGCTTATTTATGTCAGTGGTATCAATGGATTTATGACATTTTTATTGTAAACACTGTAACTGAGAGGAAAGCATAAGATCAATCAGTCTATCACAGTGCAGTCAACACCTCAACTTACACTAAATTAGATTATCTTCTCAGGATAACAGCATTGAGTTTGTGATAATGTTTAGTGCAATTGAAAGCATGAATGATACTTAGAGCCACAGGTAATAGCAGCAGCAGTACCTACCTTTTAATGTGCTGATAACAAAACAAGATTCATCTTGGAAGTTTTGCACCATCTGAAGGGCAAAAGCAGAAAAGCCAACACAACATATTTTTAGCAATGAAATTCAAGTTTCTTCAGTATCAGTATAGACTTGGAGGAGAGGTATCAAACAGAATTTGGTGTCTAGTCCTACATAGTCCTGAGTAACCCTGCCCATGAGATTACTGAAGTATATGACTGATTAATTAAGGTCCTTGCAGCTGCTAGTGTGTTTAAGAGATGTTCATATTAGAAGTGCTTGCCTGGAGCTGTTCTAGCTTATTCAGCATTTTACCATCTTCTTTGCAGCTCTTGATCCTGCAGGTTCTTGTACCACTCCTGTTATTCAGTTAAAGATCATGCTCTTAATTGCCTTCAGTGAAGCTGTTCTAGTTCAGACTGGATGAATATAGACTCTTTCCTAAGATCTAACACATTCAGCTAAACTATGGAGCTCAGCTGAGCTTACATTAGTATTTAAGTAACACCTAGAGGTGGGTGAGCCCCAGGAAATGAACTCCTTGCTGCATAAAGGAATTGCTACTGAAAAGCAATCTTGGCAGTGTCCACCTGGTTACTTTGACCAGACATTAGTACAGATGCTGTGCTTGCAGGAACTGTTTACCTGTTTGTATTTCATCAACAGGAATCTCAGTGAAACTGCTATGAGAGGCAAAGCAAATCACAGGAATAAAGATTAGAACCTAAAGCTATTTGAGTTATTCATGAGAAACAACTGGATTTTCAGAACAGGTGCAGGTTCTAGAGACACCCCTAAATAAAGAGGTGAGTTAAGAGATTCAGATGACTTCAGATCAAACATGAAAAGCCCATTTAAGCTTCATCCTTAGTCAATGCTTCCTCCCATCTTAGAGTAGTTATGTGGGACAGAGAAGGTGAGCTACCATCAGGAGGTGTCTCATACAGTTGAAGCAGATGCTGGACACAATTTCAAAGGAGGGAGATGGGACCAGAACCTGTCTGATGAGCTCATAAAATCCAGCTTTAAGAAAAAGCCTTTTCCTAGATACTGAATAGCATTCAAGCAGTGCACTTTCCAGCTCAAAGTTCTCACACCAAAATACTCTTTTCAGCTTAGACTAATCTCCCTATATTCTCTTTTGGGTTTAACATCCAGACACTGCTCCTGCAAATCAAACTTCACTGGCCAGTTTGTGTTTTTCTGCCTAACGATGCATGAAGTACATTCACAGAGTGCCTCACTCTTCCCACTATAGTACTAAAACAAGAAAAAATGTTTAAAAAGCCATAGACATTGTTAATAATTGACTTACACAAATACTTTAAGCCTTATACCCAAGCTAGTTCATGTAATTCCCCTACCAAGTGTTGCCTCCAAGCATTTTGCATCCATAAAGCATCAAAGTTTCAGATTTAATCAGGCTGGAATAGCAAGGAGACTTCAGGAATAAGCATTACAGCCTTCAGTTTAGGCACCAGTTGAGACCTATGCTCTGCTTCATTTGTTTTAACAATGCTTCTTATAAATGAAGTTCCTTAAGTGATTCTAGTGCATGAATGAGTAAGTAATTTAGTAGGGGGAAAAGAGGAAGAAGGGCAACTCACTATTAACCTCCAAGTTAATGGAATGGACTAAATTAAGCCATCCTATAATGGGACACAAACAGCTAGCAGAGGTCCATTAAATTATAGCATGCACTTCTATGGCACTGACTAACCCAGTGGCTGTAATCACTTGCCAAGATGTAACACTAATTGCCCTACAGATTTTCAACCTTGTCTTCTTTAGGAAACTTACCTATTTAATTTTAAAGGTTGTTCTTACTTTAGATCCTCACTTCAAAATTTGTGTACGTAATAAAAAAAGAAAAGAAATTCATAGAATCATTTAGGTTGGAAAAAACCTCTAAGATCATCAAGCCCAAATGCTGACTTAGTGCCAGCAAGTGCACCATTAAACCATGCCCATAAGTGCCACATCTACACATCTTCTGAACAGCTCCAGGGAGGGTGACTCAGCCACTTCCCTGGGCAGCCTGTTCCAACACTTGACAACCCTTTCAGTGAACAGATTTTTTCCTAATATGCAATCTAAACTTCTCCCAGTGCAACTTGATGCCATTTCCTCTCATCCTGTCGCTTGTTACTTGGGAGAAGAGACTCAGTCCCATGTTGCTACAACCTCCTTTAAGGTAGTTGCATGGAGCAACAAATGAGCAATTTTATTGTGTTTTGTTTTGCTTAAAAAAAAAAACAAAAACCCACACCAAACAGAAAACCCCAACCTCTTTTACAAAGCAAAGGTCTTGAAACCACACCAAAATCAATGCAATGCATGACTGATTTGCTCTAAGTATTTACTTTAACTTGTTGGGATTAGCAACTTTGCAATGCTTGAAGATGCATTCCAGTATCTGAAAGTTCACTCTAGCATCAAGAAGTCAGACAATTGTTACAGCTCCAATAAAGTCTGCATTAAGCCCTTACCTCATTGCTCACCAATACATGGATCCCTGTAGGTCCCTGCCGATAGATCCGATTTATCTGCTGTGGAGAAATGCTGTACAAGTTTGCAATCTTCTCCATTAATTCCAGCGTGGTCAATTCTTCTAAGAAGATTGCATGATATACTGCAACAAATTGAAAGTAATTACAGAACAGCACATGCAGATTGTACCAAGATGCTCTCAGCATCAACAACCAAATGAGTTTAAAATGAAGGTTCAAGTCTTGGCAGTAGATAAACAAGCTTTGTTCCTTTAAAATATTCCCCAAATATCTAGCTTGATGCAGAAATAAACCCAAACTGTATTTGGATGCAGTGGGCAATTAAAGAACTCACAACTTTTACCTAGAGGAAAACACAGGGAGTAATGACAACATGCATCATAGGGCACTATAAAAGCCCTCTCATAAAGATGTTAATGTTGTTGGATAACCTACTTCTACTGATTTGGACATTTTTAAAAAAATATGTCAAACTTATGATATGACGTTACATAAAAGCAGTGTTTTATTAGATGCCACCCACTAATCACATAGTCTCAAACTAAAGCATACAATGTATAAGTTAACTACAGGTGACAGTATTGTTTTATAAATCCAATCCAAATTATAGAAACCTGGTAGGAAAGTTGTGCCTGGTTATTACTAAGTGAAAGAATTAGGGACAATCTCTATTCCAATTTGATTGTACTGTACATCATGCCATGAGGGATGACAAGTCCCCAAAAGCTGTGAACTTTCAAGAAGTAGAACCTCACTTTAGGACCTACTGACCTTCCACTTCCTGGAATTTTTCCAGAGAAGACATAATCTAAAGTAAATTGTGGACAGAAGGGCAGTTTTTAATGCTCTTTTCCCAACTAAGAACTGAATGAAGGTTTTGCTGTGGCATTCTGCAGCTAGGTTTTAAGTTGGGTCTGTTCCCCAGGGAGATGGTATCAGTTGGAATTTATGGCCCTGAAACTATAACTGAAGCGGCAGAACTGGGATAAACAGGACCTCTTCAAACACTCAGGACACTATGGCATCTCACACAGGATCTCAGGCAGAAAGCAGCATTCTTACCAGGTAAGTGTTTAATGAGATCCATACGTAAAAACTTACCACAAAGACTGCCATCTCCATTTTCTCTTTTTTGGTGGAGATGGGACCTGTTTTGCTCTGGTTCTTGACAGACATAAATTGTCATCTTGGGCCTTACATTTCTATGGATTAATAAAAAACAGTCGTAAGTTATTTAGTAGATCTAGAACTGTTTCAAGTTGTCTACCAAACAATGAGAGATGGAATCATTCAGGCTGTGCATAAATAACAAACTAAGGGACAATCTTGTTGCTGGTGACTAGATATCCTAGGACATCTATCAGGAGACCCCTGGGAGGTAGAGTAGAGCACCTTAGTCTTATCTGATCCTGAAAAGGTTAAACAGTTTACAGCAGGTGTCAAGCAGTTCATCACATCTGCTTCTACTGATTTAAATCCTGCCCAGATGCAGAATTTATGAGGTTACTGCAATGAAAGTACATTTAAGAGTCACTTGAGGCTCCAGGGTTTGTTGTTTTGTTGTTTGTTACCTCTGATGGAAGTTTAACATAGGGTATTGTAGGCTGTGTCTCTCATGAAATGGATGTAAGCTATCAGCTGGTAGCAAATAAACCACTGGAGATTCACATTATGCTTCTAAATATTTTGGCAACATTTCTGAGCTGTGCTTGAATTTGAATACCATTGTGATCTCCAGGTTCTGAGATAACCTCTCTGAAGTATTTTAGGGAAGTCTAAATGCTACAGCTCCAGGATTAACTTCTATTTAACACTGAAATTACCAAGGGATGCTGTCATAAAAAAATAAATAAAAAAAAGGAAATAATACAAACCTTCCTTTAATTGCATTAAAGAGCCGAATTCCATCAGCAGGTCCACAGATTTGAACAAAATCTTCTTTGGACATCTTCAGTAAGTCAGCACCTACATATTTCAAATTGATTTTTTTCAGAAGTTAAGCAAATCTTAGCATCCAAACTGTGTGTATGGACAGCAGGAAAGAGCAGGGGGAAGAATCCACAAAATTAAACCAGACAGATTTGCACAGAGAAGCTGCAAATTCAGAGAGGTGTTCACTTCAGATCAATCCTTGTGAAACAGAGAGCTAGAAGCTGCCAAAAGAGCAGTGCTGCACTGGAAAATATTCAGCTAACTCAGAAACAAGTTAGATATTTAACTCTGGCCATTAAATGACCCAATTTTCTGTAACTGTCATGTTCACTGGGTTATTTAATCATGTTGCAAGTCAGAGAGAGGCTCCTCATTTTTTCAACATCTCCAACAATTGCGCCTTCCACCATCTTACTGGTGTGTACCGCTACCTAATGGGAGGGTACACGGAAAATGGAAACAGATGCTTCTCAAAAGGTGCACAGGGACAGGATGAGAGACAACAGACAGAAGATGGAAAATGCTGATTAGATATAAGAAAAAAATGTTTTCACTGCGAGAGTAATTAAGTATTTGAAGAGGTTGTTTAGAGAGATTGTGGAATTTCCAACCTTGGGGATACTCAAAAGCAACTCCACAAGGTCCTGGACTTGCTTCAAGCAGGGGGTTGCACTTAATGAACTCAAGAATTCCCTTCCATTTTAATTAATTCTCTTCCCTCCTTACCTATTCTGTACGTCTACAAACTGCTTTGACAAATGCTAACTAATCTAAGAACAAAAGAACAACCACACTGGATCAGACCAGTGATCCCATCAACAGTGGCCAGCAGCAGATGCTACTGATAGGAAGCATGAGCTGCACTTTCACAAAAGAGAACAAAAGCCAAAATAACTGGACTGTTTAAACTCACCCGAAAAACTTGAGAAGAGTCTACAGAATGGAGAGAACCTATTACGATGAAGCCACTGCTGGGCATCTTGAATAGAAGCAGAAGGAAGGAGATGCTACATTGCAAAAAGAATAAGAAGGTCTTGAAATGAACTGTTCACCAGTGTCCTAAAAGAGAAAAGCACCACATTAACATGATCTCAAGTACTTACATCATTGCTGGGAGGCAGGAGCTCCATTTGGTGAGTTGGAGAACTGTTGCTAAAAGAAATTATATAAAATTGAAAGAGAAAAAAAAAACACATTACTTTAAATTCTACATTAGTGTCAATCCTCTTCTCCCTCTCCTCTATTTGATTCAACTTTCACAAGTTACACACCAACTTGTTTTATTCTATCAGATTTTTAGAAAGGTGTCCAAAACCTGGACCAAGAAAAGAATAAAAAAATACTTTCTACTTGAGCCTTTTGTCGGTCAGCTGAGGTCCTACTCAACACTCAACACAGAGGAAAAACTCACATTTACTGACCTCTTTCAAGCTTTTGTATATGGGTGATTCACTAATGTAACATCAACTAAGCAAGGAAATTGTAACCTACAGGCTCAAAATTTCTATGAGCCAGAAATAACCTAAAAATAATTCATAAAAATTGAACAAAGGACCTTATAATTCAATCCTAGCGTTATTTGAAACACAGTAAGTTGCAACTTAACTATATTACACAAAACTACATTTCTACTAAATCCTCCTAAACATAGACAGGACTTTTTAACACATCAGAGACTTTACCAAAGAGCTAATAATCTACAACTGGAAGAAAATGCTCAACAGATCTCTTACTAACACAAAATTTTGTAATTTCGATGTTTCTCCTTATTCTGAGGTTGAGGCCACTGATTGAAAATTTGTGATACAACACAGATCAATTAGTAAGCTGTGTGGGAAGGCAATTAGTGGGAAGAATCCTACCAGAATAAAAAGAAAAGCCTGTGGCAAATTCCTAGGGGAAAGTGTGCTGCAGGGAGGACTCAGAAGTACTGCAGGACCCTGCTGTACATTTAACATCAGTTATCATCTCAGGCATTTCAGGATCACTAGAACTGTTTCTTTATGATGGTTATTTTAATGAATTAAACATGCCTCCACTAGTCCTTTGTTCTGAAATGGCTTCTCAAAACCCAGGTTGTTTTGCCCCAGGCAGGATCTCTCTACATCCCATTCAACTGGGAATTCAGCACCTCAAACTACCTCAAGATAGAAGGTAAGGAAGAAATGACAACTCTAAAGAGGTGCTGAAAGCCTCTAACAAGCTTGTGAGAAGATACTGGGAATTGGTACAGGGTATGGTGTGTTCTCACCAGGAATTGCCCTGGTGGTCCTCTGATGCTCACCTTACAGTCACTGCATAAACAGTGGACATACAAATTACAGGGAATTGCTGGACAAAAGGTCTTAAAAGGCTTTTAGGACATACTTTCTTTCCCCCTTCCTAGAAAGGGTGGTCCTCGACCTCTTCTTCCAGGGTATGAAATGCATGGGCACAGAAAGCTTATGCACACAAAGGCTACCATAGCGACAGGAAAGGTAAAGCATTTATTTGTTACATACCCATCTCCGAGGTTGAAGCTGTTGGGAGAACTGTTGTAGCTTGGAGATGGAGCATTGTTCATTTGATAAGGCACATCTGGCCAGGGAGAGCACTGTTGGGAGAAAGGCAGCAGGGATACTTTCATAAGGATGGAAATAAAGGATTCGATTCTCCTCTAATACCACATTCATGCTGTTGCCACGCCACTAACTTCAGCTCATCGCTCCTGCTGGGAGGAGGAGATGGGCCATGGATTTTCTACACTGCTCTCCAAGCGGGCTGTCAGGGGGCCAGATTGATTCCAGTTGTGCATTCCACATTTCTTTCTCCCATTTCACAAAGCCTGTCCCCAAATAACACTGGGCCAAAGTGTGCACAGCTGTAAGTCAGAGCAACGCCAGTAAGTCAACTCAGACTGAAGGCAGCAATGATACAGAAACACCCCTGGTCTCAATTATAAATCCCTAATTAAATCCAGGCAAGAGTGACAAATACGCTCCAGTGGCATTGCTTCAGGTTTATACCAGTGAAAGAGCAGAATCTGAACCAGCCTGCTAAAGCCTCTGGCGATCAGTCAAACAGCTCCAGTCATAAATGGGTATTACATGGAGAAAATTTAAGATAGACAGATAGACAGATAGACACAAAGCTACTAAAAGCCTTCAGAAATATAGGTCAGACTCCACATTCCATTACAGTAGGGTGAAACCAGAGTAACCCAGCTAGAATTGGTGACTGAATTTAAGCCAGCGTAATCAGTAGGAGAATCTACCCCTTTGGAACCCCCTGCCATCAAGAGCTCAAGAAAATGCCCTGTAGTATCCTTGTTTGCAATGATAAAAAGACGACAAGTGTAGCTTTGCAGCTTTATCATCTCCACAAACACTAGCAAATATTTTATCATCTCCACAAGCACTGGCAAATATTTAACTCTTTGGCAACTCACATTTCCCCGTGCAATATGTCAAAGTGCAGCAGAGCTCATAGGAGAGTTTGGGACCTGCCAACTCAGTAAAATTAGGTCTGTCAATTAGAAAACATGCTGGTTGCTCCTGGCAACATGAGGAAAATTGAGTGGGAGGGATTGGATCTCACAAACAGGAAGTTGATTTAAATTAAAAATAAATTAACATCATTTTTTAAAGTCCAGCAAGCCACTTCAAAAAAACCAAGAACTAAACCTAACGACAAGACATTCCCATAGGGAGACTGAACTGCACTTTTAAGTGCTTTCCTTGAGTCCTGTTGCTTAGTAATTCTGCAGCCTAGGGTAAATTTATACATATACCCTAGTAATGACAGGGAGGGGTAAAAACACATACAACTACACCAGATGCATCAGAATATAAGACATCCAAGATACTCCTAGAGTACAACCCAGAATCTTCCCAGATCTTGTATGTAACAGTAGCTTCAAAGGCACATTCACAGAAAACCAGATTAATCATTTCATCAGACAGGTCTATTCATCTGCTCAAGTGCCCCAACTCAAACATGAACTTTTGCCAGAGAGTTCTAAAAAAAAAAAACACAAAAAACAAACAAACAAAAAAACACAAACCAAACCTCATACAACTGGCACCTGAGGGCCATGACAAGTGCCTGGGAACACAGGAGAATACTGAGAAAATAATTTCTTTTAAAGCTAGGCTGTGAAGGGTTGGTTTATACCCTGAAACATAAGAAACATTGGCATATTTCATAAATTTCAACAGTGAGAGTCATTTTATAATTTTACTCCTCTCTCAATTTCCATCAGACCTCAGCACACATGTTTCCACAAGACAGTCTCCAGGGCTCAGTTAGAGGTTGTTTTCTCTCAGATTTATCTCCCAACATAATGTAGTGTAATGTGTCTAAAACGCTTTACCTCTGTGAGAATAGTTGTCTCATAGGAAGGCTGATACTTCTCCTTCTCTTGGGTGGTCTTCTTTTCCATTTTTTCTCTGTCAGTCTTCTGTTTTCTGTCTGCTCCTTTAGGCTACAAGCACAAGCACAGGCTCTCCCTTACACCAAGTACTACAAGTTTGGAGACAGAGGCCAACAGATTTATCTAATCTGTTCACAAAAGCTTCCTTAAGATTTATGGGGACTTTACATATGAAACAAGATCAGATCTGTATTTTCTAGACAAAAAAAATTAGTCAAGCACCTCTATTGTTTCTATACATCACCCATGAAAGCCTACTGCAATTCTGAAATAGGCTGACCACAGTCCTGAGATGTGATTTCAATCCTTTCAGATCATGAGCTCCATCAGTTATGCATCTCAACTGGTATTTGTACCATCTTTCCAGGAACAAGAAAGACACTGCTCAAAGGAGCAAAACTGGAGCAGCAGATCCTTTGAGAAAACGGGTCTATGGAAAATTTGTTGTTAAGTAGCTACAGGTCTGCCATGCCCAGATTAGGAGCTTGAGAGATGCTTTCTCTCTGAATCTCTCCGAGGTTGCATGGAAAGAAACTCTACTGAAGAAAACCCAACAAAAAAAAAAAACAAAAACAAAAACAAACAAAGCTCACTCCCCAAAAAAAACCCCCACATAACCCAAAAACAACCACCACCAAAAAACAAAACAAACAAACAAACAAAAAAAACCCCACAAACACCTCCCACCCTCCCTCATCTACAATGTATTTAAGATCTCCAGGATACACTCTTATTGTTCAGGGAGGATTAAATCAAAGAAACCAGAAATGCCATAATGTCTTGACTGCCTACGAGCATCAAAACACTGTGGATATCCTCAATATCTCAATATTCGTACAGTGTTTGAGGCACAATGGACTGGCCTAGGTCATGGTGCAGCACTTGGATCATTTCAATTTAACTAGAATTGCTGTGTAGTTCATTTTTTATGCCACCTTGTGCACAACAGTCCTGTTTAGGATCTTAAGCATACGCAGCTAAAATTCTGTTCTTTTACTCCACTATTTGCATCACTCCAACATAGTTCAAAACCTTGGCATGTTCCTGTGCCTTAGTCTAGTTGATGACAAAGCCAAAACTACCTCATACCTTGAACACTTTGATCTGGCAGCTGGCAGAATGCAAGTGTTCTGTGTATTCACCATTTTCATTCTGCTTAAAGGTGTCGATTTGTACCCGGAAGGGCACCCCCTTCTCTCCTCCATGTTTCCGTGGAGTAAATTCTGTGCTGATGCAATGTACCTGGCAAAACAGAAGCTGTGTTCATCTCTGGAGACAGTTGGAACCTCTGCAAACCTGAACTTCAGAAATTGCCCAAACATGATGTTTTGGCTCCTCCCAACAAACTAAGAAAGGCAGAAGAGTTCATATGTTTTCAGTTCTATTCCTCAAGACAAAACTATTAGAATAACAAGCAGTTCAGAAAGAAACAGGGCATCAGGAAAAGCATACTTTGATTTAATTAAATCCTTCATACAGTTTTAAAACAGATAGTTGGTGTTTAGAATGAGAAATACTCATGAAAGAGGAAACCAAGCAAAACTAAGATTATGAACAGTTCCCTCCAGACAAAACCCACACTTGGAAAGCAACATTAGTGTCTGGGTACTTTTTAAAGAAAATCCTAGCTGTAGCAGGTAGTACTCCAAAGTTAGCAAGCAGCCAGCAAGTTGGTTTAGTGAGTATCCTACAGATTATTACAAGATTGTCACATGAGTTTGTATATCATCATTAACATCGTTGTCTCTTCTTCATGTCATGGCAACTCTAACCCTTCAGGTCTTTTTAAGATATCCAACTACTGTATTGACCCCAGAAATATCACTTCTCTCTTACCTGAATGAATGCTGAAGCTCTCTTTGACGGATCCCAGAGAAATTCAACAGTGTTCAACTGGGTTGGGCTAGCCCTGGGATCCAAGATACCAACTGACAGCGGAATATCTGTAGAAGAAAACCCCTAAAATTTTAAAAATATTAAATTGAAGAAGAGAAAGCATTTCCATACAATTACAAGACGCATGTGAAAAGTGAAGCCACCAATGAGACATCTATTTGTAGGTGCCACAGTGCTAGATCTCCTTCCCACCCAAAGACATACATGATTCCTATGACAGTAGGATATAAAAAAACCTAAGCACACATGCAAACACATCATTCAGCTTCCAAACACTGCACAGGTACTGTAATGAAATATCCTCACCTATATCAAGGATGCGGTCCCCAGGCCGACTCCACCTCCAGCCCTCGAGCTGCTGGTGCTCCGTGTACTGCAGGCGTCGGTCGTGGAAAACTACACGAATTATGCTCTGTTAAGAAAAGACAGCAATATTAACACTGTGATCCAGAAGTCCCTTCTCTTGAGATGACTTTTGTTTTCCAGAGTAGAAGCAAAAGCTGATCTCTTATGTTTCTCACCCCCATTCATGAGGAGAGTCGAGGGTCCACCTAAGAGACCCATCACCATGTTTATCAGTTTCTTAAGGGACCCCTGAGTAAGAGAGAAACACACTTCCCCCTTCACAGGGCACATCTATACTGTGTAACACAGTCCCGTACAGCTTTCTGGGATTCACTCTGGAAGCACTAGAAGCACCTCATCTTAGGTGCCATGCCATGTAAACATCACTATGCTGCCTGCACACCCAAAAAGGCTCATACAGGGGTAATATTTAGTGTGTCTGTACCATGTCCCAACCCCAGTATATCCCATTCTGATTCGCAAATGTGGAAGCCAGCTCACCTGTCCCTGCACTGGAGGAGCTAACATGTCCTGACACCTTGTCAGTGGGAATTAAACTTGATCCCAGCCATTAACAGCCAGTCACTGATTTGCCCAGGTGTAGTTAAACAAGTGTGGAATAGGAAAGCACCTGTAACAGCAAGCTGGCCTGCAATGGTGCAGCCATGTCAATAACTGGAGAAAAAAGGCTGGAATAAAGGCAATTCCCAGGGCAGACAAGTCCTAAGTACTCCTAAGTAACATATCCTTTTGTATATTCAGAGTGCTACACTTATACGAGTTAATGACCCCTAACATCCCAGTTTCTCAAGCCCGCACTCCTGCTGGGGACTTCCATATCAAATGAGTGGGCAAATTTTGCCAATGAACCTGAGAAATGTCTAAATCAAACCATAGCTTCAAGAAGCAAGCAAGCCACAGTGGGGACACCTGCAAAATTTGAATCCCAATCCACACACTACCTGAAATGGGCCAAAAGACAAATAGGGAACTGCCTAAACTTGGACAACATTTGAAATCCAGCTTGGAATCCAAATTTTGCAACTGGTCTCCACTTCTCAAAAGAAATCCCGAGGCAGAACAGTCAAGAATTGAAGGTTGGATCCAGAATCAAGGTCCGGACCAAAGTTTTTGAATTTGAATTGTTTTGGGAGTGGGGGAAACAAAAAAAAGAAAATCTTCCCCCAAACCAAACGATCAAGTTCTGTATGTTCATAATAATGCCCATTACCAAAGTAAACTGGAGCTATGCAAAATCTGCCTGGTAGAACAATGTAAACACCTGGGCCCTCCATGTGACATGTAATAACCCAGGCATGTTGCTGGGGTTAAGTAGGGAGACAAGTCTGCCTCTCAGCAGCTTTGACCATGTTCACCACTGAACTTTGGGATTCCCCTGAACCCAATATTCACTGTGAAACTCTGGGGTCATGATCACAAACAGAATAAAGGTTCCCCTGAAGCCCTGCAAAGCTGCATAGTCAACTTCATCAGCCCTACTCCCACTAAAAACAATGGCAAAGTGTTTTCCATTGTCTTAGTGTGAGCAAGGTCAGGCCCTTCATTAAAGGCTGTGTGTAATAGCAGGAAGAAAAGAAATCTATATTTCTCCTTACCTTTACATATTTTGTGTTTAAATCTTGAAACTCTCCCAATTTCCTATTCTCAAGTAGACGGATTTCATAAGACTGACCTAGAGTTTAAGGAAACATTTCCAAGGTGTTTAATATGTTGTAGCAATGAGAGAGTCATGCTGGCATTTATGTGGCTGATAAAGCATACGTTTGATCAGGGAAAGCTTATTTTTGCTAACATAATGCATTTGCCCCAGTAATCATTAGGCACTAAAGCACAGCAGAAATCTGAGGGGAAGGTTTGCCATTTGGCAACTAAAATCTCTCCATTAGGGCATCAATTATAGCTGTCTCCCAGGGCTGCTACACTTTTCTGGTCATCCTCCAGAAAGCCGCCAAGGTGTTCAAGGCAGTTGTCCACCCACGTCACACGGCTGTGACAGCACTGCCCTTGCCTGTCCCTTCTGCCAAAGCAATTCTGCCAAAGCAGTGGTTGTGTGAAGAGATGCTGGCTCAACACATCTAGGCACTATTTTGCAGAGGACAGAAACTTGGGCAAAATCTTCCCCTTCTTCAGAGAGCAGTCAGGTCCCTAAGGTGTTTTGGTGAACCAGAAATATAAAATTTGTTCCATAAAGCCTGGAAAGTTGCTGCCCAGGGCATAAATACTCCTTTAAATATGTGTGTGGAGGCAGCAGGGTATTATAGCATGTGCAAGGAACCAGTTCTGGGAAGGGAATTCCTACTCCAGCACCCCACCATCACCCTCAGAATAAGGAATTTAGCCAGTTCTATAGAAATTAGCTAACTGGTTTATGAAACAACATCTCTCTCCAAGGCTGACAGCGGAAAAAGGAGACTGCTGTCTCAATACTTTATGCACAAATTACTACAACAGTATAAAAGCTCATTGTATTACACCAAGTCTTTACAATAAACCTGCAGCCAGTACCAATACAGGACAGGATCATTAGGATTATTGGAGTACATGTATACCTTATTTCTTGTTTTTCTTGTTTATCTTGCTATCCTCTCTTTTCCTGAAAAATGTACAGGGTATGACAAGGCACCAAGAAGATCAGTTTGGGTTTTCTGGCCCAACCAGTATCTCCACAGAGCTGGCCCTGCAGAAAACTGCAGAGCAGATATCTCTCCCTTCAAGCAGCTCCTATCAGCAGAGACAACAACACTACATTTCTGGATCCAGATACAGAAATGGAAGACTTACGACAGCAGATGTGTTGGAAAGGCACCATGTTACAGGGAGATTCCCTTTTGAGAATCCCACCTGCATAGGTACAGACCACATCAACAGAGCACAGTGTTAACTGTGCTTATTCAGTTGGCAGGTAGTAAAAAAAAAAAAAAAAAAGAAAAAAGGGGAGGGGAACAAGAGAGGCCATATTGAATCTCCCAGTGTTTGCACAATACTCCTACAGATGTTAATTGGAGTTCTGTGAACAGGAAATGACCCTTAAATCCAGCAAGAGGCTTAGGGCACAGACAGAGGAGAGCATAAACCATATGAAGTACCAAAATAAGCACTGGAAAGGTGCGTTGATCTTTACCCATCTCTTTGCGCATAAGTAAAACAAAATTACAACAGTGACCTGCCATTGAAGACTGCTGGATAACAAAAGTGCATTTTGTAAACTTCAGTCCTGAAACTGAGTTCTTCCACAATTTAACTCAAGAGATTTTCTAACATTCCCACTGATACATGTTAATATTGTTCACTTGGCAAATTTTAGATAGATGTGCATATTACCCTGCCTAATTCATGCTCTTGCATTAGCATAAAAACATCAGGGTCAGGTTAATAAAATGGGTTTTCTCTCGTAGAAAAGACACTTAAGATCATCAAGACTAACCATTAACCTTGGACTGCCAAGTCCACCACTAAACCATGTCTCTAAGTGCCACGTCTCTTGTGCTATGTATTTGCATGTGCTGCACATGTTTATCTCTGAACTACCTGGCTGCTCAATGGTTCAGTTTGGGGATAGGTTTCACCAGCTATGGAGTGATACAGTTCCTCATCTCAAACCAATTTACACAGCCAAGCAACTCTTGCACTTACAGTTCACTCCCATGCAAATACAAGGCTAATTCATCATTACAGAAAATTAATTATGGTTCTGAGACCATGAGCACCCAAAAGACAGTAAAAGATATCTGTGACTGTACTCAGATGCACTAACAGGGACAGCCAAATTTAGTGACATGAGCTGTGCTACAGAGGAAGGCAATGGTCAAACCAGAAGTACTGCCAGCCATTCAGCAAGTACTTCAGGAATGCGCAGGTTTTTGGGACACCTTCATGTACTCATACACTCTTACTCTTTTGTCAGCCTGATTCACTTATTTGTGGTTCCAATGAGACAAAAGAAAATAACAGGCATAAAACCATTGGCCATGCTCCTTTCTCAGTAGCATCAAACACTCAAAAACTCTGCAGCTTGCATCTTCCACCACTTAATGGGATAGGAACAGTACTGTAACCTGGCAGCCAGCAGGCACCACACATCTCCCTCCATCTGACAGGAGTGATTCACCTTGGATGGAGTTAGAAACGGATTCTGCCTACTAAAAAAAAAAAAAAAAACACACACCACAAAACTGCAGTGTAGACAGAGTTAATATTAAACAGAAAGCCAAAGAGGAAATAAAATGCTTTGATGAAAGATATATGGGTCATCTGATGGAGGTCCTGGAATGCAGTTTGTGCCAGGAAAAACCTCAATCAAAATGGTATTTTATGCTAACTGCTTTCCCCTTGAACTCGGAATGTTTAACTCTAGTTGCTATACAGAACAATTATGAAACAAGACTGCTCCCAGTCAAGCTTCAGAAAACATGCAGTTTATTTCCCTCTCTGTGAAACTCTGTCAGTGAGAATTCGATCCTAATTTCTCAAAGTTCCTTTATATATCAATCTTTTGGTACTGATTTTGAATTTATTCCCCTTAGAGCTTTCCAGTAAATTCATTTTTTGTGGCCCATGGTACCCACAATTTGTTAGCATGGACAGCATTCAGATACTTGTACTGTTATAGCACAAAACTGCTTAGATTATACCTTTTCCTTGAAAAAGACATTCCAAACCTTGTTCACCTTATGTCTTTCACCATCGCTATCAGCAAAAGTCCTGAAATAGTGAATTACAGTAATTGTGATACAGTAATAGTGAGTTACTCCCTGTAACTATAACTGCAGGGGGAAAAAAAGCCCTAAAGAATGGTCACTTGGACATGAGAAAACAAAACCATTTTGTGAAATAAAGTGAATAGCAACCTAACCTGAAGAAAGCTGAACTCCTCCTGGCGTCAAAGAGGGCAAAGAAGTCACACAAGGCTCTGATACACAGATCATCCATGAATCCTCTATCACTGATTCACCAGCACGGGAAGGCATAGACTGACAATTTTGTGATAAAACTAAATCAGTAATGGATCATTCTTAGTCAGGTATCTAAATCTGTAAAGAGGCATGTCAGCAAGTATGACTAAAGCAATCTGTATTTCCAGTTCCCAAGACAGACTTTAAGTAGCTAAACCCAAAACATAATGCTGAAATACTGAGTTTCCCCATACTGAATTTTTCCATCTGTCTGAGATGGAAATAGAGATTAATACAGGTCAGACTACAACCTTCCAAGTCAATACTTGGCAGTAAAAGCTGGAGACAGCGGCAGAGGGTGCCAGTGCTGAGAGTCTGCAGTGATTTGATTGCAGTATCTGGTCCTCAGTTGATATGGGTTCAACATCCAGTGGACTCAGATGGAAGATATAGCCCAAAAAAAAACAATTGTGGCAATGGAGAGCAGTGGTGGCTGCTTTAGATCATTCTCCTTTAGCAGAATGATAGTCATCACCCAGAGCTAAAGGCCAGCAACGTGCTGAAACCTTTTCCTACCACACTCTCAACACTGGCCACAGCTGCACCACCATAGGCAACACATGTTTGAGATCATTTCAAAGCTGGTGACCAGCCTGGCCACCAGTCACAGTATAATACTGGACACATGGGGCACCTAAAGCCTCTCTGTCACTATCTAAAATGAGAAGAACACTCTGCAAACAAATCCCCAGTGTAGCTGATGCTGAAGCAGCCTCTGCATGTCCATACCAACCAGCGCTCCCCTCACTCACCACAACCCTCCTTTTCCTACCTCAGGCAGAGAACAGAACAGTAATAAATATTTAGAAAACCACAGCAAATTCCTGAGATGCAATTTGCCTCCCCTCTTCATTGAAAGCTTCAGGGGCACCAATAAAAACCTGGGTGGGTGATGATATACTGTAATTTGTATTTTAAACAGACATTCCCTGAGCAAAAGCAAATTTATGCAATCTCCTCCTAGATTAGAGTTTGAGCAACTTGCTTTACAAACAAGAGTAGTATCCAGCAAAGCAGTAACCACCCAGGTCCAGAAAGCTTCTGGTTGGTAATTCATAAAGCAATTGCATCTATCTGAAGGAGGATTTATTGATTGCTTAGTTTTTTTAAATTTGTATTGTTTTTGGTAATTAATGCACATGAAATGCAGGTGTGAGCACTTAATCTGGGGACAAAAGAACCGAAAGTCAACAATTTACTACAGACAAAAAATAATTTAGTTCAACACAGGAATGCTTTGACCTGCTCAAAAGGTACAAGCCTAAACAGCTTACTGATTTCCACGGAATTTGGTCAGCCATCCAGAATTGTAGGTAATTTCTGAGTAAAAAAGATTATCACCATTGCAGGCTCAAAGTTACATTTTGTTCAAGAAGTATCTGCTACACAACCACAATATCCTGCTTGCTTTTCTTTGTTTTGGTGTTATGTTTCAAGGGCCACTTGCACTATGCATTCTGTGGTTTTCTGCACAATACACCGACACGATACACTAATTTCCAATTAGGATGCTGATGTTCCAGGCTGATATGACTCAGGTCTTACTTAATCTAGCAAAGTAGTCTGCTTGTCTTTCCAGCAATTAATTAAACCCTAACCTTCGACCAAGCAATATATCCCCTACAAAATCTGTGGAAAGAAGAAAAACAACAGAGAATCCTCTTTCTCAGAATGGATCCACACAGCACTGGACAGAACCAGCCTGGAAACTGTTTGATTA